CTCACTTCCTAAGTTTCAGGGAGATTAAAAAGTGTGCAAATGAAGCTGTAAATTAGAACAAAATTATCCTATCTATGGCGGGGTAAGAATGGCAAATCCAAAAGCATAGGAAAAAAACTCCATAAAATGACAGACTGCATGATAACAATGTTTCTGGTATCAAAAGAAAACATGGAACTAAGCAGTGAACACACTGGGGGAAACATTTGCTCCAGATGGGGATAGCAAAGTGCTAGTAATATGAATGTAGCTCATGTCCTCAATTCTGCATCTTTTTTCATGCTTTTGAATGTTTCTTGAAATCAGGATGATTTTCAAATAATGTGTGTATTTAATACGGTCATTAAAAACATGAAATCAATGGCATCTCTTACAAGCAATAATATCTTGCAATTAAAATGTGATTTTAAGAAGTGTTTCTTTAAAAATTAGTTCATACAGTTAGTATGTACACTTAAGTTCTCCGTAAAAAATAGCCAATTCATTCGTGCATTCAACAAATAATAGAGTGTTTACAATGTCGCCTTGGCAACAAGGTGGTAGGTGAACAGCAGTAAACAAAAGCGGCAAAAATCCTTGCTTTCAAGCGACTGTCAGCCAGCCACTGCTTCGTGCCCTGCGCACTACCAACCTTGCTTCTCAAATCAGTTGGGTTATTTTAGGGAGAGTAAGTACTTTAGCCAAGGCCACTCAGCGGTTAAGTGATAGAAGCAGATTCCAACTCAAGCCTGCATGGCTTTAAACCCTGTGCTCTTCCTCAAATTACCATAATCGTCAAGCTAAATAAAACTTTCTCACTTCATCTCACTGACAGAGCTCTCATTACCTGGGCCCTCTCTCTTCCCACCTGCCTCAGCACTGGCTTGAGGACTCAAGTTCGGAAACTGTTGGTGGAAATAGAAAGCATTTCAGTGGATGCCTCAGCCCAGGCTGGTGTGTTTTTAGCAAAAAAAATAAAGAATGCTTTGCCAAGAAGACACATAAAATGTCTAGTCCTCCATTATTTAGGTGCCCTATGAGATGCTTTTAAAATTTTGCTAAATAATAGATATCATCCAAGATTTAACACATTCAAGCAATAAAAACAAGTAAACAATTCACAATCCTAGATTTTGGGAAGGGTGGGAAAGAAAACAAACCATACACTATTCTTGACGTCTGACAAATAGGTGATTAGAAGCTGTCCTAAATGGAATTCTCTAGAAGCAAAACCTGTGTGTAGGGGAGGAAGCAGGGTAGGTGGTGGGGAAAAGTGAAGCGACGATGTGGTCCCCACTGGAGACTGGCTTCACCCTGATCCCAGGGAGAACTCTGGAGCACGAATTGTACCACAGTGGTCCTACTTGCAGGCAGGACACTGATCTTATACACTCGGGTGGCTGCGTGCTGGTTGGATCTATGGTGGACGCGTCAGATGAGTTTCACTAATGCAAAGTGGCTAGCAGTACTTCTCCCTGACAAGAAGACACCTGTGAGCCGTTAGTGGCCAACTCCCAGCATCTGGGGATGGGTCCCCTGCCAGGTAAAGGATAGGGGATCTGGGTGAGACACCAACAGTGTCCCCTGCAGAAGGCCAAAGGGAATTAATTTGGTAGATTGTCAAGTGGTAAGTTTTGCACATAGACAGGAGGAGCCCGTAGACTAGAGATGTTTGTTGAACACAGGCACTTGATATAAAGGAGGTTTTTGGTTTTTATTTTGTTTTAGGGTGTTAATGTATTCCATCAGGGAAAAGTTGTTTCTAAGAAAGGCGTCATGGCAGGTGTGCTCTGCAGAGGCTGAGAAGGTTCTTATGGAAGTTTTCACCGTTATTAGTGGAAAAAAGGAAAACAATTAGAGATAAAATTGGAAACAATTATCAGAAGCTAGCTTATATAATACCAACTGAGTCAGAAAAATGATAATGAGTTCCTACGGCTAGCATACATTTTTATTCTAGATTTTTTTTTAATTGTATTTTCACATTGGTATTTTCCTGTAAACGCATTTTTCCTAACAGTGCTTTGCAGAGAATGTCAACCCTTAAGTTCTCATTCTACTATTCAGCTGTGTCTCCTGGTGAAGGAGTGAAACAAAGGCACAGAATGTGAAGCCCTTGAGTTTTGCCAAGTAGCTCTGCCAGCGCTTCTGCCGAAGTCTGCTGACACTGGATTACATGTAGGCCCACAAACTACATCACCCCTTGAAACTAAGGAATAACTTGAAGAGTAACATGAAATACCTCCTTTCATAGATTCTGAGGCACACTCCTTCCACCTCCATATTTTAGCAACTCGGAAATCTGGATACATTTTATAATCAATGACATCCAATTACAATTGGGAATATTTTGTCTTTTTTCTTTTTTTGGAGTGCAGTGACACGATCTCAGCTCATCGCAACCTCCACCTCCCAGATTCAACTGATTCTTCTGCCTCAGCCTCCAGAGTAGCTGGCATTGCAGGCTCGCACCACCACACTCAGCTACTTTTTGTATTTTTAGTAGAGATGGGGTTTCACCATGTTGGCCAGGCTTGTCTTGAACTCCTGACCTCAAGGGATCTGCCCACCTCGGCCTCTGGAAGTGCTGGGATTACAGACGTGAGTCACCGCGCCCGGCTGGAACATTTTTTCTTTCTTAGTGGCATATAACTAATAATGTACCTTACTGTTGTGTCAGACCCATATTGACTTCAGTAAGGATGACACCACGTTCAAGAGGCCAGAGACGAGACCCGGAGCCAGTGATTGAGACCTAAACCCTGTTTACCGAGGGGACTTACATACAGGGATGTCCAGTGGTGGCAGGCCCGACAGGAGAGCTGCTACCATTTGTAAAAAGCATGCAGTTTATGTAGATCAGGTGCATCAGCATTCTTAGGGTATGTTTAAGTTATTATTCTTATCAGGTGCGTCTACCATGCAGGGTCATTCTCAGGGTGTGCTGAAGTTATTGCTATCAGATGTATCTGCCATACGCTTACAGTCTATAGTATCAGATTCAGTGAAACACAATGGTGGATTGAGTTTACTTTGTTTTGTTATAATGTAGTATGATTCTCATATATGTTTGAAGATGAGTTCTTGAATCTTTTGTTGTATTCAGTCTCCTCTTTCAAGCACCCATTGGCTCCTTTGGTATTATTGAGATTAGCTTTACCCAGTATAGCAAGGTAGCTCTCAGACTATGGCTATAACCATATACTTGTAGGGAAAATTATCAACAGCTGTCTTGATTAATAGAAATAGGAAATAGACAGGAAAAGTGAATTTCTTTCTTCTTCTTTCAGTTTACATAGCAGAGACTGAGTATGAATTCTGTGAATGTGATCGTGTCTCTATTGGATGAGTGACAAATGGCAGGCCAAGACTTTAGCGTATCTTTTTTCTTAAAAATATGTTGTGGATATATGTCATTCTGCATTTGTCAGAATCCACAGAATGTACAATATACCAAGAGTGAGCCCCAATGTAAACTACATTACACTAGTCACCCCTATCCACAGTTTTACTATGCATGGTTACAATTACCCATGGTTGACCAAGGTTCAGAAATATTAAATGGAAAGTTCCAGAAATAAACAATTTATAAGTTTTAAATTGCATGCCATTCCGAGTAGTGTAATGAAATCTCTCACCATCTTGCTTCATCTCTTTCTCATCACAAGGAGTACAGTAAGATATTTTGAGAGAAAGACCACATTCTTATAACTTTTATTATAGTATATTGTTATAATCTGTTTGATTATTGTTGTTACTCTCTTACTGTGCCTAATTTATAAATTAAACTTTCTCATAGGTATGTATATATAGGAAAAAACGTGGGTACTTTCCATAGTTTCAGGCATTCACTGGGGGTCTTAGAATGTATCCCCTAAGGATAAGAGGGGACTACTGTCTGGTCTTTGAGTAATAATGATGTATCAGCGTAGATTCGTTGATTGTAAGACATGTACCACTCTGGTGTGGGATGTTGATAGCAGGGGAGGCTCCGTGTTTGTGGGGGGCAAAGGATATATGGGAACGCTCTGTACTTTCCGCTCAATTTTACTATGAACCTAAAACTGCCTTGAAAACAGTCTGTTTTTTACAAATATATAACTATACAGAAAGCCCGCTCTTCTGCATAGTTGCCTGTTCCTAATGACAGAGGCAGTGTTCTAGAGGCATTTCAGTCAGAAAGCTGTCGCTATCTGGACATCCATTCCCACTGGTCTGCTGTTACTCATTTGTCTACGGGGTGGGAAAGTTAGTTTGGAAGTACCATCCCAACAAGGCCTGCAGTGCCTAAGAGGGTCTGTCTTGGAGGATGTCTAAAGTATTCAGGGTATTTTACGACCGCATCTTCCTGTATAACCATTATCCAAAAACATTTGTTTTTTAGTCTAAAGGTGTTCTTTTCATATGTGTTTGCATAGAGCTCAGGAACGTATTTCAGGCCAAAATGTAGGAATCAGGTAAACAACATGCACTAATGAAGAATATAATAAATTCCTTCAGTACTTTTTTCATAGCATAGAACTCTGCTATGAAGAATATATAACGTATACCAAGTATTTAAGATTACATGTACACACATGAACACACACACCCCCCTTCTTTAAAGAAAAAAGAACCCATCCCCTTGATATAAACCATTAGACTCATTTCCAGCGTGTCTGTTGCCATTATGTCGATTCAGCCTGCAAACAAAATTTAACATTTTAGTTTTTTAAAAAAATCAACTTTTAACCAAAACTTCTTAGAATTATTTTTCAATATTAGCATAAACTATTTGTTGGTGTTTTGCTATTATTTTAACTGCAGTGGACAGGTATCTCCTTCACAAAAAGAAACTCAAACTGAAGCTGATGTAGACGAAAATGAAAACCAATCACCTTTATCCAATTATATGAGATGTACCCTATAAGTTCTTCATGTTTCTATAGAAACGTGATCTGCTAAGTTTCATCTTAGAGGTATGATTCCCCAGAGAAGAAACAACGTTTCTAATACTTGTGGGTTTTTTTCCCCCTTCCCAGGCCTTGAACCGGGGCATTGCTGCTGTCAAGGAGGATGCAGTTGAGATGCTGGCCAGCTACGGGCTGGCGTACTCCCTCATGAAGTTCTTCACGGGTCCTATGAGTGACTTCAAAAATGTGGGCCTGGTGTTTGTGAACAGCAAGCGAGACAGGACCAAAGCCGTCCTGTGTATGGTGGTGGCCGGGGCCATCGCTGCCGTCTTTCACACACTGATAGGTGAGGCCGCCGACCGCCACTGACGAATCTAGCTTTGGCAATTTCTTATTCCTTTTCATTGATTTAAATATATTTATTGAGATAAGTGGTTTCTTTACTAATTATCACATTTCTTATGAAATGTTCAGGGAATAGAAGGAAAGTGCTTGTGCTCCCAGCTTAAGACAATAATGTGTTTTTTCTGGGGAGCTGTAGTTTTTGTGTCTCTGATTCCCAAAGTAAAAGAGAGTGATTTCATTAGTAGGCGATTACACCTAGGAATAACATTTGGTAAGGCCAATAAAATAGCAGGTGCTTTAATTAGAGATACGTGTGCATCACTGTACTGGGTCATTGAATCTTAAGAATAAAAATAGAATGACTGTTATTTAGAATTAATGCTTATCAGCAGTGAGAACAAATGACAGATTGTTCTATTTATTACATTAATTTGTTCTAGGATCTTATTCCATTTTATTCAAAAACAAGACTAAATACTTTTGTCATAGCATTCTTTCCATGACACAACAGGAAAGCTGTATCGTACATACAGTGACTGGCCTCCAGTTTAACCAAGACCCTGGAAAAGCAGCTCTCCTTCAGGGCTGGAGTCCTGCTGCTGCTGCTTTCGTGCTGGGAGTAAAGCCTTAAGGACGTGATTTCTGAATGTCTTGGCTTTAAAGCAGCTTTGCTTACCTGGCATAAAAATTGAGTGGTACCTCTATTGAAGCCAGTTACATAAAACACTGTGAATGACACTTCATAAACCCATTGTGTACCTCAAAATTGTTGCTGATTGTATAAAACGCATGGCTGTCAGTGGTGAATAAAGGAACCAAAAGATTAACCCAGACCATTTGCAATGTGTTTGCATGGCAGCTAATGCTTACTCATATAACTGCAAATCTGAATGTAAATAAGGAAAGACCTTTGCGGTTTTCCTTTTTAATGTGGCATAAAATTTTGTGCTAAGAGCAGTGTGGAAGAGAGTGTGTCTGCTGATGGACCAGACACTCAGCCAAAGCGTTGATATTGATCCTTTAATTTGTGCTTAGAGCTTCAGGGCATGGAGTAAAGAGGAGCTGCCTCTGATATCCTCAGTTTATGCCCTAAATGCTGACCGTGGACTGAGTATTTGCACAGGTACCTGTATTTGAAGTAAATTTCTGCTACATTTGATGTGAGCCATTTTCAAAGAGTACATGTACAGTATTTGGAAAAAAAAAAAAGCCATATATTTTGTAAAATAAGGGGCTTCCTTAAATGAGCAAATGAGTTCCCTTTGCTGCCAGCTCTTTTTTTACTTGGACTTATGAATAATCCAACATTCCCTATTTAGCCATGGTTGAATGAGACTTTGGGACTAAACAGCTAGTTATCAGTTGTCAGTAATTCTGGAAGAGAAAAGCTAAGCATCCCGTGTTATTGCAGTTGTCGGGAAGAAAAGGTGGTCATTGAAATAAAAATCAGTGTCATTTTAGCTTTTCAATTTTAAAATATAATTACAAAATTTTAAATTTAAACCAAAATGGTTTTCTGTATCTCATATATATTTAATAATCATTATTCGTTTTTATACTTCTGCAATCACAGCATTTTTCCATCCACCAAACAAATGTTTTCCACAGTTGCTATGAAAGCACATATGAATTTCTTTGGAACATTTGAAAATCAGATTTTAATGACGTACGCTTTTCTAGAGTGTTGGCCTCCTTACCATCTTCTGCCTAAGTCTTGAGCCACTCTCCTGCCTCTGCCATCTGCTACGTCGGGCATCTTTGCTCACCTTTCTGCCTCCTTCTGTTTTTAGTAATCCTATAAGCTTTTCTATATCCAGATCCTGCCCATTTTCTTTCCCATAACCGTGGCCACAAGTTCCATGATGGGATGTTGCTGTCCCTCCACCCCCTAGCCATTCTTCCCACCGCTTTCCTACGTCATTGAACGTTGCCCTTCCAACGGCAGTCTCTATGCATCACCTATATTTGACGCTTACACCCATTTTCACTTCCTAGTAATCCTGAAAACAGCTACTTATATTTCTACTTCAGCAATCAGCTCCTGGATAACTATGTGTGTGACAGGGGAACACTGAGGTAGATAAAACAGAAAAGGAAATACTCCCAGTATATTTGACTTGAAAAGCCATTGTATGATTTCAAGCAGTCTTCCAATTATATTTGCTGGGGCTGATATTGAAATGAGCATATATTTCCTACATGTACAGCTCCTGGGTGGGGCCTAAGTAAGTACAGGAAGGCTTGTATTATAAATTCATCATGCTGAATTCAGAGTGGGAATATAAATGAGATACATCGAGGTTTAAATTAATTTCTTTCTAGTCTTGTCCAGGCAAAAGTAGTTGAATTGTCTTCAACATTTCTTTAAGTGCTAGTTTCCCATCACCTTAATGAATGTATTTCCTTTTAGCAAGTTCTTCTAATTTTTCAAAGGCATTTATTTTTGACATGTGAGAGCATAGAGCAGGAAGAGATTTTCTTTTTGGGGTTGGGACAGGCCTCATGGATTGAGTCATTTCTCAACCGTCTCTGAAGGATGAGGTGCATTTCAGCACTTTCTTCAATTTGTTTGTTTGTTTGTTTGCTTGTTTCTGAGACAGAGTCTTGCTCTGCTGCCCAGCCAGGAGTGCAGTGGTGCGACCACAACTCACCACAACCTTGACCTCCTGGGCTCGATCAATTCTCCCACCTCAGCCTCTTTAAGTAGCTGGGACTACAGGTGCACGCCACCACATCTGGCTAATTTTTTTTTTTTGTAGAGATGGGGTTTTGCCATGTTGCCCAGGCTGGTCTTTGAATTCCTGAGTTCAAGCGATCTGCCTACCTGAGCCTCCCAAAGTGCTGGGATTACAGGCATGAATCACCACACCCGGCCAGCACAACACTGTCTAATTTTTCCTTATCTTTGTTACAGAACGGAGTCAAGAATTTTCCCTGTGCGCTATAAGGAATATTTTGCTATAGCCATCTAAAATCATCCCAACATGATGTTCTCTATGTTAGACTTTTTCTCCCCAGTCTGGATGAACCTCAACACTTCGTACTTTTCACTGTTTACTAATAATTTACCAATCCCTGGAGGATCTTCTTCACTTACAAGGGATTTCCAGTGCGGACATTACCAGCTCTGAAAAATCAGTTGCAGATGTATCTTCTCACTTTCACTAACGCGGTGTCCCCTCTGTGCATCAGTTAATGGGTCACAGTAGGATGATTGAAACAGGCTCAGATCAAAGAGCACTAAAAGCTTTTGTAGTGTCATCCCTCATTCACTGGGTTTGCCCCAATAAAGGAAAGAAGGAAGGAACCTTTTACTAGGTCCTTTTCATTAGATTTACTGTAGTTAAGGAATTATTTTTTCTTACATTTCTTTTTTTTTTTTTCTTGACCCCACTATTGAGCTAGGCATTCTCCCATCTTTGAGAACTTTGCGCTTGGTAGTGGATTTCCCCAGACAAGGCTGGGGTACATTCCACTGACCACTCAGACACTTCCCTGGGAATGCTTGGTGGAGATTGCGAGGGAAAGATGGCCCCAGAGAATGTGCCCAGCAACTCTTCCCGACCAGCCAAACCTTGTGCAATAAGCCAATAGAGCAGACACTTGGAATTGTGTTGGATTGAGAGAGTTGAAGTCTAGAAGGTCCACCGGACAAGAGTTTTTTTTCTTTTTTTTTTTTTTTTTTTTTTTTTTTTGAGACGGAGTCTCGCTCTGTCACCCAGGCTGGAGTGCAGTGGCCGGATCTCAGCTCACTGCAAGCTCCGCCTCCCGGGTTCACGCTATTCTCCTGCCTCAGCCTCCCGAGTAGCTGGGACTATAGGCGCCCGCCACCTCGCCCGGCTAGTTTTTTGTATTTTTTAGTAGAGACGGGGTTTCACCGTGTTAGCCAGGAGGGTCTCGATCTCCTGACCTCGTGATCCGCCCGTCTCGGCCTCCCAAAGTGCTGGGATTACAGGCGTGAGCCACCGCGCCCGGCCCACCGGACAAGAGTTACTGTCCATTCTATGCACACCCGTAGCCTGGCTCGAGATACCCAAACTGCACAAGCCTTGGGAGTATTTCTTGGCCCTTGTTGAGCAGCTGCAAGTATCTCTTTTTTAGCTGAACTACAGCCATGATCTGTCATAGACACCATTTTTTAAAACTGCATTGTCCTGCTAGATTCAGTTACAAAACAGAAACGAAGAGTACAGAGCCCAGGGTTTGGCATCACCACACCTTCATTTAGGCCAGTGGTTGTGGTGCATGGAGGAAAGCATGCTGACCTTGCATTTGACTCCATTTGGGTCCAAATTAATTTCACGTGCATGGAAATTAGTATTGCCTAACCTCCTAATTCATGAAGATGTCGAAACCGCTGCTGTGGATTTTAACTTTCTCTACACGTTTATTCTTAACAGTAACCTGTGAGGCCCTTGCCATGTTCTGAAGCTGCCTGGGTAGGCAGCAGAATTCAGGGGAACAAAACTGCAGGTTCCTGTGCCCTTCCAGTGAGCCACTGAAGTAATTTCTGGCCCAGTTCTGTTTGCCAGACTTCTCTTTTCAAACTTTTCCATTATTCATGGGTTATTAACCAGCTCTGTAAAGAGTAAATTAGTATAATTAGCCATAATTTAAACCAACGAGGGTGCTAGGAGTGAGCGGACAGTGTCAGTATGGTCTTACAATTTATTGCCATGTAGAAAACCATCCCAATCTTCAGCAGCTCAAAACACAAGCATTTATTTTTGTTTGCAAGACTACAGGTTGGCTGGGTGGATCTTTGGAACTTGACTAGGCTCATGCCTCTGTGGTCAACTGAGGGTCAGGAGGTCGCTCTGCTGACCTTGGTGGGCTCCTTGTTAGCGAACATCCGGCCATCATAGATGGCCTCTGTTGGAACAGCTGAGCTCTCCTCCATATAGTCTCTCATCCTCCACTAGCTTTGCCTGGGCGTTTTTAGACGGCTCTTTTAGATGGCTGTGATGATGCTCCAAGTGAAGGGACAGAAGCACACCTGAT